AAACCGGAAGCAAGGTAGGGGCAGATGCGACATGCACCTGCAACAAGCCGCAGCACAGATCCTCCATGCGCCATGGAAGATAGTGTGACAATGCCACTTGAGTAACATGTGCAGATGACGGTGGTGCGACTGCAGCTCCGCAGGACAGTTTCCACCACATGGAACTCGACCACTGAGACATGGAGTTCATGGCGGAGCATCCAAGGGCCAGGCAAAACAATACAGCATCAGAAAGAAAAGCCTGAGAAGGGATCTTTCGATTGACTTTCTGGCGTTTCCGGCCCGGCAATCGCTGCCAGGTTCCATGCTCCAGCCGAGCAAAGGCACTCTCAGGTTTTCATCCAAGCTTTCGTGCATGTCATGTTTGCCGTCACGGCCTGCCCCAGAGACACCTCAACCTCTAGCTCCGGCGTCTTGGTGCACGGCCCTGTTGACATGGCCCTGGACAGTGTCGTGCCAGGAGGGAGAAAGACTCGCCTCAGCGCGAGTCAGGGATACGAGCAAAGTGCTGGACGAGGAAAACGACGATCTGCAGGTTTACAGGAGGAGGAGGAGGAGGAGGATCAGAACGCGAGGGTCTTGAATCGAAGAGTGCACGAACCAAAGAGACACCCACGCAAGCAACTGTCACCACAGTCGCCGGTGCCGCAGGGGCATTCGCCTTCTCTGTTCAGGTGCTCCATCTGCGAGGTTGATGAACTACGACCAAGAAGTTTGTAATCAAAGGAAACAATTGACAACATCTGCAACCTGCAGATACTCGGCAAAGGTTTTGATAGTTTTGCCGCCACTAGCTTGCAGCTCACCGGCACTTGCAGCGCACTAGCATTGCTGAAGTTGTGGCTTCGGCCTAGACTTTTCATGATTTGCCGCAAGCCTTGAGGCAAGACCCCTCGTATGCACTGGGGCCGGGAGCTCGATGAGAAGGCGGCTGTCCGGCTCAGACTCTTTGGCCTGCCAGAGGCTGGAATTGACAAGGGGCTCCAGGCGAGTACTGCGGGTCAAGGGGTGGTCATTCCTAGCTTTCCAAGTTAGGAGCAAGAGCGCCGTGCACTTTTCTGGGAGCGGCATTGTGTCCATGCCCTTTTACAGCAAGCCCGGCTACTGGAAGCGCTGCCTTCTCATGGGACCGGGCGACCATGTCCTCAGGGTGCAGACAAAACTCGCAGAGATCATTCGCATTAGAAGGGCTCTGGCTCACTTGTGCTTCACATGTACCGGAACAACGAAGACATCATCCATCTCCCTGCGTCTCGCAATGAGCTCTACGTATGCTTCGGTCCTCTGGACGTGTTGCTGTGTAAACCGTTTAAGCAAGGAGCCGAACCGCAACTCCAGCCAAAGATACCTGTGCTTGCGGTGGTGGCATTCAATACCGTGCGATCTGACGAGAGAAGCAAGTGCCGGCCGAGCCGCGCACACGGGCGCAGAAACGGACAAGTCGCAGAGAGTGCAGAATTGCTCGATGCCAAACTGAAATGTGACGTGTATGTATGTATTTATGTAGGTAGGTACAGGTATAGGTATAGGTATTAGGTATTAGGTATAGGTATTAGGTATCGGTATACAGTAGGTGTCTGCATGTGCAAGCATGATCGCGGAGCTTAAGATCTCAAAGCTTCCAGAGCTCCGAAGTGCTGCATGCTCAACCCATTGATCGTCTGGCAGACTCATGCAGAAAACTAGCTCGAGATGGACTTTGGCAGCGGGTCAGCAAACAGCAGATCTCAGGCTTCTCAAAAAGGCCAGGCCCGCACAGCCTAGGCCTAGACTTGCAGTGTGCACTCGGTCACAGAACATGAAGAAACAATGACGTCGACAATCTTCACACGACGACACGGGGCAACGAACAAGCAGCGGCAGAATGCCTTTTCAGCAAATAGTGCATCTCGTAGCACGAAAGCCACGTGCAACTGCTCGCTGCTCGACATGCAGAGCAGGCGTGCATCCACGGAAGCCTTCGTTGACAGACGCAAAGCTTTGCCCCATCGGAGCAACTCCCTGCATCGAGCAGGCAGAACGTGTTCATGATGAAGGGCCTGCTTGGCCGTATGAATCTAGCTGGGATTCGGCCACAGTCAGGGAGCTCCTACACTTGAGGTCTCCACAAAGATGTACTTGACCGGCGCGGCACATGACAGGTCGCTCTGCACTGGGCACAGACGTCGGTCAGTCAGGGAACTTCCTGGCCAACCTGAGCCGCTTATTGCCGCAGACGAGGTGACTAGGTCTGCAAGACAAAGAGCTTCCTGAAAGCTGAGCCGGGCTGCACTTTGTCCACTGCTGCCAGCTGCAGCTGATCAGCTCGTGCCTGCACAGAAGCTTCGGACTTTCTGCGGTTTGCTACGCTGAGGCCGCCCAAGTTCCGAAAAGATGTGGACCTCCTCTGGACAGTTCCGTGGCTACAGGATAGGCCTGGTCCCACTCATCTTTTGAGGGAGGCGCAGGCAGCAGCCGAGGCCGTACCTCATGCCAACTTCAGGGACTCTAGAGCGCAAAACCACCAGCCCATTAGCCCTTAAGCCACGCCCTCTGCATCGGTGGGATTGGCTAGTTGGCCTCTTCTTCAAGACGACAACACTGAAGCTCAGGCGGAGCAATTCTTGACAATGCGAGGACGTGAGATTAACATCGTTTCGATTCCTTATGAGAAGTCCATGCACTTAGCAAGCATGACGACGAGTAGCCGTTATGAGGAATTTCTGTTACAGTGGCATGACAGACAGCTGTACCGCTCGCTTGGATCTTCGTGTGAGCACTTGTCTGCCAGAAATTACTACATGCAACATGCCGCTTAGAAGGGGCACGAAGATGTTGCCACGGTTCTCTCTGACCTGACCAAGCTAGACACACTAAGCTCGGTGGTGCGATTCGTCAGAGAAGAGTCTTGCCTCGTAGGTTTGTAGCGGCGGCGTCTCAGGTAGACCCCGTGAAGCATCCTCCGCTTGTAGTCTTGTATCTGTTTGTTTCATTACCGGTGCATAGTCGCATCAAAGTGGGTCCCAAAGGCAAGTGCCCACAATCGGATCGAAGAGGTAGCTGTGAGCTGGGCACGCCACCCCCACCTGGATTGTAAGGAAGCTCTTGATGGCAAGAGAACCGACTCCGTGTCTCCCATGCCAGCCACACCCCTGCTCCGAGCTCGGATAGATCCTGACCGCAACTCAGGGAGGATGTATCAAGCAGATGGACGCAGCGCTGCCGCAGCACCGGACAAACAGCTCCTCCACATCTCCACCGAGGAGATCGATGCCAGCGTGAGGGCAGCTGCGGTCGAAAGAGAGCCACTTCCCGTCCCGGTGCCTGGCAACCAGGGCTTTCCAGACTTGCTCCTCTTCGACTGCTAGCCTCTAAGCCTCTAAGCCTCCTGGCCGCTTAAGAGTCTCTTCTTGGCTCCCTGAGCTGAACCTGTGGGTTCAGGATACAGTTGGCACCTTCGCAGTTTCTGTCGGGAACAGAACTTGTCGGGGAGTTGGCCTCTCGAGCTAAGTAGACAATGGTAGGACATGGTCGCTGAGCCGAACAGAGTGCGCATGGGCGACTGGAATGCAACTTCAGTCATTCGGAGCATCGGCAAGGCTGCAGAAAGTCACGAAGTGCTTGGCTTCAGGTTTGGGCCATGCGCCTTTTGAGTTTGTACATGTGGTGGGGAGCCATGAGCCATTTGTCACAGCTCTTGTAAACCTCGAAGAGAACCTGAATCATGTTGCATGCCGCCGCAACTTACCTGAAAGCGTGCCAGCCTTGCAAGACACAGGCTGTGCGACCCTCGTTGAGCTCAAAGGTGAGTAGCTCCCAACCTCGTGCGATTTTCGGTGAACCTGTTCTGCAAGCACCCTTGGGCAGATCCACAGAGCTACGCAAATCGCATGTTGGGCTCGGGCCACACGGTCCTTCGACCATCTCGGACCTGCCAAATTCATAGAAAACGTTAAGCTTTCTGTCAGATTTCAGGGCCAGGCTCAACCGCCCATGTGCTGTCTCCTCACACTCCCTCACTGAAGACGGGCTTTTCGACTGCCAGCGGTCCACTTCAGCCGAGCTTGGCAGCAAGTGCCTTCTCTCAAGCCCGTTCGCAACTCCGAAAGCAATAAAAGTCGGGTCAGGTTGGGCCGCACGGTATGCAGGCCCGACCGCCATCGGCATCTGCGACTATACCGTGAGCAGCTGAGACGTCATCGGTGTGGCTCAACGAAAAAGCCTCCCATTCTTGGCCGTCCAGTCGACTTCGGCTGTTTTGAGTGCAGCGCGCACTCCTTACTCACTGGAGCATCGCTTGCTTCTTTGGTCGCAGTGCGATCTCCCGCTCAAGCTCCATACGGCGCAATCTGCTGCTCGTCGTGAACAGCTTTCATCGAAGGGAAACTGATGTCCCAGTCATCCGAGAGCGAGCGAGATGCTCAGAACCCTGGGCCAACTCCTACATCCTCCAATCTAGATCCTGAACTCTCGGTCGCCCCATCCCCATTCGCCATCAATCTAATTTCCAAGTCCAAGGTACCCTGAATCCTCAATCCGAAATCCCTGACGCGATTCGTGAACTTCCGAGTTCTTGCTACTAGTGCTGCGAACGAAGTCCAGCTTCTTGGCTGCTGTGAGGAGTTGACCCGTCAGCTGCTCTGGGGTGGTGCACAAGCAATCGCAGCTTGCAAGTATGTTGGCTGAAAGGCCACGAGTATGCTTACGCATTGAAACACGGAACACCATGTCATAACTTTGCTCTTGACACAAGGGCTTACAGCCCGATCCGCATTACAGAATTTGCCCCACCGTCCTTACACAGTCTCACGCGTGAAACGAGCCGAATTCCACTTTGCGTCGCTCGTTCATGGTCCTTCATGGTTACGATCATGGTGGACATGTGGAGCTAGCCAGCTGAATCTGCATTCCTCACCATGGACCGGAACGAAACATGATGGCAGCCATGCCAGCAGCAAAGAGCGACGCATGTGAAGCAAATAGCCATCTGACGGGCTCAGCGCTGTCGTCGATTCTTTCTGGTGCCTAGCCCGGTATGTCAGTTGCGAGGCAGACATGTCCCTGTTCTACAAAGCAGTCGAGAGAAAGCATGGATATATGTCACAGGCAGCTGTACTGTATGTATTCGACGAATGTGGATTCGCCCAACCTGTCCAGACTGTGCCTACGTCAAAGAAGTGACCCCTGGTCTTCACCTGAACGGTCTGAGGCCTCGTGGGGTCCCGGAAGCCAGAGAGTTTACTAGAATATGGGGGTTGGACAAGGGGCATTACGACTATCGTGTCTTAGGACCTTCCACGCGGTTACATACGACTCTTTGGTGAAGTGATCGCCGAGGTAAATCAGAGCGGCTGGAGGGGGCTTGGGCCTGGACGACGGCGAACCGACTGGCTGGCCCGGAGGACGATTGGCTCGGGCGCGGCGTCTCTGCCACAGCAGCGGGGAAACCTTTTGGTATCCTTCCATCCAAAGATCTTGCGAGAATTTGCCCCATGGCCCCATGGACGCCCCTGTAACGAGGCCATTGCGCGAGTTCTAGACGAGACCGGCAAGCTGCCAAGCAAGTTCAACCCCCTTCTGCGATGACTGAAAGATGGGTCCGAGGAGAAAATCCGCCGGGTAAATGGAAGCATCTTTGTACAAGGGCTTCCCTCACTCGAGGGGCCAAGTCGAAACTCCAGATAACCCTGCCAGGCGAATCAGCCCCTGCAGCTGTCCATCTTCTAACGGAATCCTTTGCTGAAGCAACCTTAGCTCTTGAGACAACCAGACTGTGAGGCATCCTGCTGCCAAAGCCTGCGCAAAACTTCCCACTGCAATCCAGTGGCTTGTGGCAGGGCCCTGAGAGGTCAGAGAGTTGGGGTTCCGGGCTTCGGGAAAACAAGGATGAGGCTCACGTTACGGGTTTGCCCGTTCGCCGCACCTTATTCAAATGAGCTTCGATTCCCTGAACACGAATTCCTAAGCCATAGTCTGTACCTAAGCCCTGCATCGGGCCTTGGGAAACGACGGCGGTGGTGCCGGTGCCTTTGAAGCTTGCCTTTGAAACCATGGTGGCCTGAAAGGCTTGGACACGATCGCGATAGAAGCTATATCCCGATACTTAGAAGAGAAGCATCACTAGTGGGGGCGGGCTTGCAGGACCCACCTCTCCCACGGTGGGAGGCGATTGTGCTCTTTCTCTTCCAGCCACTGCTTTGCGGCTTTGTAAGCCTCGACACAGCTTGGAGCTTTGGGTTTCCGACTTGGGGTGAGCAAGTGATCAATCCGTGGGAAACTCCAGCTGAAGTGCATTCTTCAAGCCTGATGTTTGGGTCCTCCATGGTTTGCGGAACAAACTGACGTTATCACGGCTAGCACGTGAACCTCCTGTGATCCGAAGAGGCGGAGATCATCCAAGCGGCCTCGTCCATGAAGTGATATGCCGACTTCACCCGATCATGGCCGCCGCAGTATTTTGCCACTTCATCATCCACTTTGTCCGGATGCAGGCGCAAGGCAATGGTTCCTGGAAGCCAGGTAACACCGTGGCTCCCACACTAAACGCCAGAAGCGCCACGTAGTATGACTTGGATGTGCAGCCCCCTCACTACGGATACCAAGGCGACGGCTCTTTTTGCTTTCCAGATGCTTCACCTGAAAGTCTTCCTCCAGCTCGAAGGCTTGAATCCATTTGTATTGTGAGCCTTGCTGCTCAACAACACCCGCAAGAAAGCAGAGATTTAGGAAACTCACTCGAGAGCTTGTTGACCATAGAGAGCACAGAAGGATACCTACGAGTTCGCAAGCCCAGATTTCAGAGGCACAGTGCATGGGTGGAATAGTCAATCCGTGAAGACAGCAGCCTCCCCAACCGCAAGGTACCTAAGCGCAATGGATGCTGGCTGAAGGCGTCCGTTCCGGATGCGAATCAAGCGATCCACCAACTGCTTGGCTTCCTCCAGCCTGCACGGGGCAAACGGATTCTTCTGGATGTCACTACCCAGCCGAAAACATGGACAACGGTGCAGAAACAGAAAGACAACTTGACCACATCGCGACAAATGAGACGAAGAAACAAAACGAAGCACACGATTGACTCAATGATCTTGTACATGTACAACAGTTCATGGTGCCTGCTCACTTTGGACGGCGGAGAGCTCACCTCGCAAAGACGAGAGGCGACGGCGAAGCTCATAATTGTTCATGTTTTCCCTTTGAAACTATGCACCGACGTTCACGTGATCGCCGTTGCTGGTTGTCACACTGTCGGTGATCACTACGTCCGACCGCAAAATATCTTAACTTGCAACTTTCCTTCCTGCAGCTGCTCTTTCTGATGTGTGGCCGTGAAATGCTGCGACACAGAGGAGGGATCTTTGGGCTGTGAGCATCCTTGGGGCATACGAACCAAACTTGCCGTGCAGGGGCACGTGAGACAGCTCTGATGGTCACAGAATCTCCGGCGAGTGGCACTTCGCGACGAACAAGCACCAGAGGCACTCGGTCTTTCTGCCTCGGATCACAGATGTTGATACCGTGCTGGTGCGCTCGGCTTTGCTATTCGTGGCCGACACGCAACTAGAGACTACCACATCCCTGCAAGTTGCAGGTGGCCGGGACGGCGATTCGGTTGAGTACGCTCCGCTAGCCTCAGCGGTCTGGCAGACCGAGAAGACCCGTGACGAAAGTGTGTCCGATGCCCTTGCTCTTTGCCGCGGGCTTGATAGCCTCATCTGCACTTGCCTTCGTGGCCGCCAGTTGCTCTTCATCGTCAGAGATCTCAACTTCACTTCCACCTTCGAACGATTTGCCTGAACAGCCCTTTGCCTTGCATTGACTTGCCTTCGTGGCCACCAGTTGCTCTTCATCGTCAGAGATCTCAACTTCACTTCCACTTTCGAACGATTTGCCTGAACAGCCCTTCGCCATGCAATCATTGACTCTGTAATTGCTGCATCCGAGGAAAAAATAGTTCGGCTGCCGGCCGTCTGGTTTCCAGCGCAGGACGCCTTCGCACTGGGGCGAAGGGCAGCACAAGTTGGTCTCCTCGCCAACGCCGCCTTTCAATCGCTTTTTCTTCGGCTCCTCAGCCATGAACACAGGTGACACTTCGAGGGAACACTATGTCCGGCAATCTTGAAACACAACTGCGACCACACACAGGCATCACCTGAAATTCACAGTTTCTCGTTCCCAGCTGCAACCGCTGAAAACTCTCTCCAGAAAATGTGAACACACACATGTGTGTTGCGGAAGAATCAAAAGAAAAGGCGAAGTGAAGGTTCTGAACATTCAACAAATTTGGATAACATGACATGAGCACACCAAAAAGAACCAAACACGACGGAAAAAAGTTGAGGACACAACCAGCACACCAAAGGCAGCATGAGACCAAACAAAGCACCAAACAGAACGAAATTTGAAGACACCACATAAACACACCAAAAGGGGCACCAGACACGACTGACAATTATTGTCATTCTCGCAGACCAAAGGCACGAAATCAAGGAAACTGAAGACACCATACCAGCAGAATGCACAAAATCACCGAGGCCGATGCCTTGATGAGGTTCATCAAGAACGCGGGGTCGCCCTCTGCGATGCCCTTGCTCTTTGCCGCGAGCTTGATAGCCTCATCTGCACTTGCCTTCGTGGCCGCCAGTTGCTCTTCATCCGTCATTCGAGTCGCAACGCCGGGAGCCAGCCCCTTCACCGGGCTCTCCACAGCAATTGCGAGGTCTCGCTTGCGTGACTCGGGAGTTCTCGGAGCTGGTTCTCCTGCGGCCACGCTTTGGGTGCTCTGCGAGCTCACATATGCCGAACCAACAGCATGGCTGTCAGAGATCTCAACTTCACTTCCACCTTCGAACGATTTGCCTGAACAGCCCTTCGCCATGCAATCATTGACTCTGTAATTGCTGCATCCGAGGAAAAAATAGTTCGGCTGCCGGCCGTCTGGTTTCCAGCGCAGGACGCCTTCGCACTGGGGCGAAGGGCAGCACAAGTTGGTCTCCTCGCCAACGCCGCCTTTCAATCGCTTTTTCTTCGGCTCCTCAGCCATGAACACAGGTGACACTTCGAGGGAACACTATGTCGGGCAATCTTGAAACACAACTGCGACCACACAAATGACAAAGGCATCACCTGAAATTCACAGCTTCTCGTTCCCAGCTGCAACCGCTGAAAACTCTCTCTATAAAATGTGAACACACACATGTGTGCTGCGGAAGAATCAAAAGAAGAAGCCAAGTGAAGGTTCTGAACATTCAACGCTATCGGAGAAAGAGCCACAGAGTAAACAGCGGCCAAGCAGCGCCTGCCTTCGGAAAAGCCGCCGGCTGATGTCTGACATCATTGCGTGGGGTGCTGCATCGCTCAGCCTGTTTCATGTCAAATGCTCATGCACTGACCGCCAGGACACTGACCAAGGAAAATGCGAACCGAAGCCAAGGTCGCACTGCACCCTCACCCCGGCAACACAGAGATCCGACCCTGAAGATATTGTCTCAATCTGCAGCAGACCTGGCAGTCAACCCTGCCTCTTTGTCCCACCAGGAGTTGCGCCAATGCGCTGACCCCCTCGACTCGGATCCGGTAGCGTGCCCACTCCGCCCACGCCCTTCATGGGGATCCTGAGATGACCAATATCAATATCCGCAGCTGCTGCTGCGAATTGGGTCAGGCTGCATATCTTGAAGAGCTCTTTGTGTTCGTGTCATGAGAAGCCTCAGTTCAATCAAGCTCAAGAACAGGAGGCCAAATGAAGCACGTCAGAGAAAGACCATTTCCAAGGCACGGAAGGATGGTGGACAGGATCGCTTGCAGAAATGTGAATCACTTCGATCTGACAGAGCTTCAGGACGGCCAACACAGAGGAACACAACGGTGTGCGTGTGCAGCGACACTCAGACATCTTTGCAGTCACAAGAACCATGAGCATCTAAGAAAGGCCCCATCACAGAGCAGAGAGGCTTTCTTGTCTCCGAGTCTACAGTCCTAGAGACGGATGTCCTTCAGCTCATGCAAGCAACCTGCCTGCGGGTCTGGCGGAGCGGGTCCGTCCCACACCTCGCGCTTCGCCACACTTACCAGCACAAATAGGACCACTGCAAGCAACGGCAAGCAAGAATCATCCAAGCGACGTTCGGCCGCTCCTGGGCATTGCCTTGAAATGGAAACGAAAGACTTGAACAAAGGCTGGAAAATCCTGCGATCTTCTGCACAGAGGTCAAGCCTATGAGCCATGGAGTCTTGAAGAACAGACGGGTGGCGCGGGATGCGTTCCCAGGCGAGAATCACGGGGCGCAGCTCGGGCAAGAACTCCACCTCCCGAAAGCCCAAGTACACGCAAGTTCCACTTGTTTTCAAAAAACGAATAGTCCAGGGGCCCGCCCCTCTACACGCACAAGTGCGTGGGACACTGCTGCAAAACTGAGCACAGCAAACTGCGCCTGCCTCCCGAGCTGCCTTCAATTTTGCCTCAGCCCGCTTGCGGGCCATGCTCGGCAGGCTTCGACAGCTGGGAGCCAGATCCAAAGAAGCAGAAACACGGGTTCAACATGGCGTGACTGAACTGAAAGCCAATCTATACCGCATCCATTGCTCACGCGCATGCGCTCCATATGCAGGCATGCTTCCAGCGAATGGTACAGCTCGAAGGTCTCAGAAGGAACCATCCACACGTAAATGCAAATGCCAAGATCAGGAAATACTGTACCAAGGGGCCTAGACCGCAATCAGCTGACTCCCGGAATTGGCCCATAGGCTGCGCGATGAGTTCGTAGCAAGAGGCAGGGAGCAGGGAATTCCCCAAACCTCCAAACCCATCAAACCCCCAAAACCCCGCAGCGCAGGAGCCTGCTGCCCACCACCTGCCAGCGCCCTTCGTCCTCTGCAGCCTCCACATGGATCGCAATGAAACGGAATCAAGGAACACGCGCCACCGAGTCTGAGGCGGCCTTTCGCCTCCTCTTAACCAACACCTAAAAAGCGATCGAAACAAAACATAAAAGCGAAAAACGAAAGAGATGCCCTCTTTGCAATTCAACCCTCAGGAAGCAACCCACAGCACGAGAGAGGTGGATGCTACTGCGAGGAGTCCTGAAGGGATTGCAATCAGACCATGAAAGGGGCTGAGACTCTCAAGACCAAGAACACAGCTCTTCCGTCCGAGTCCATGGTAGACATTCCATCGGCGAGAAGAAGCGATGGCCATGAGAGCAGGTGCCGAGAATTGGAAGGATTAGTCCTAGGTCAAGGCATTGCGCTGCTACCCCGCTTGAGATGCATTGCAATGTTCAGGGATTCTGCTGCTGTATCATTCAAAGGGGTAGCAACCCCTCAGTCAGGGCCGTCTCACCGCTACAGATCGCGCAGATGGGACACTAAGCAGGTCGCATATGGAGCAGTTCAAACACAAGAAATACCCGCTGCTTTCAACCACAGCAAATGAATGCTCCGGCAGAAACCGACTTCACGGCATCAGGACATGACTTCATCGCCGCCTGCAGTGAGCTATACATTCGCAGAAAAGATCGATGTGGCATCTCAGCCCGCCCGTCCAAAAGTTTGTGGCAGGATACTGTGTGATGCGGCTGTTATGTACAAAAGAGTTTGTTGAAACAAATGCAGCCCTCAGCCCTCTTCGCTATCGGCGGCGGTCCAAACGACCCAGCACACAAGCCAAGGCTGTCGGCAGTCCTGCGGGGAAGCCAAAGGAAAAGGGGCCCAAAGGAACCACAGCAGCCCTAGCGTCCTCTTAGCCCTTCTTGCCGCTCACTATGTGGGTATAAAGACCGGAGAAGTCCTGCTCTGAAGCTCTGCGCGACAGCAAGGTGCAGCAAGACGAAGTGCGCTCTCCGCTCTGGCACGAGCATTGGGTCTTTTTCGGTCGCATGCCGACGAGGAACCCCGACAATTTGATCGGAAGGATCCCAGCCGGTTTCGGGTTTTGACCCTGTCGCCCAGTTCAGTCAGAGATATCTGCCTCTAGGGTTTGAAACGGCGCGAACTCAAGACTGAACGGGTTGCGGGCCAAGAGGTGGAAGGGCCAGCATCAGCCGTCACAGGGCATCAAACCGACACCTACTGCGACTAGCTCCTTGTGTTGTCAAGGTGTCGGTGCCGAATGGCATCGAAGAAGCGTCGTCGGGGTGATGTCGCAGAAGTGCGGTAGTTGAAACGGAAGGATTGGTGTACCACGTGTACGTTGAATGCTTCGGGATGGTTTGCCTAACACACATTCAGCGACCACCAGCAAAGGAACGGAGTTGGTGAGGCGTTTGCCAGTTCTGTGCACATGCGTGGTTCAACTCCCGAATCAACTCTAGAGGAATAATCTCTGCTGAGCGCTATCAAGCAATGAGCATATGTCCTCACCAGTGGGCTCGATCAAATCTGCCTTCGTTGCACACTGACCTTCCCGTCCATTCTGACAGTGGCATGTTTGCCACTGGAAAGGGGGAAGCCCTGCTGCAGCTCGAAACCCACAACACTTTGGAATCGCTGCATACAAGTGGATTCAAGCGTTCCGGAGCTGCAGCTGAGCCATGAAAACTCCTCGTGAGAGCGTCCGCAAGCGCCTCCGGCGCGCGGAGGCTCTCGAAAAATCATCTTTGCACAAAGCTAAACCTGAACAAAAGCTGGCCAGAGTGTCGTCTCCGGACACAGCCGGCATAGTGGTCTGGGGCTGCTTCGAGGACAACGCTTTAGGGGTCTTGGGTTTTGGGTTTGGGCCAAGGCGGCCAACGGTATCTCACAGGATCGATGACTCACGGTCTTCCATAGCAGCTTCGCTCTCTGGAGGACCTTTGCACTCACCTCCGAGAAACCGAATAAGAGTAACAGATCGAGCCCCCGACCGCTAGCCGCACGCCTTAGCGATTCACTCGCTGCTCTTGGGGACTCTCATTTTCTCCATCCTGTCTCCTTGCTTCAAGAAGGGGCAGAGGCAGCGCATGTCGCCTTGATCATGTTCCGGGCCGATCAGCATCAGCAGGGGCATGAGGAAATTCGTGGACATGAGGATGGACAGTCCGATCACCATGAAGATAAAGCCACCGAACTGGAAGAAGAAGTAGAAGCCGCATGCGAAGAGCATGGCTGCTGCAAAGAGGGTAGTAATGGCAGAGTTGGCAACTGAAATGCCCATCTCTTCCAAGGCAGCATGGGCCCGATCAGTCCGTGTCCTTGCAGGTGTGTTGTTGTAGGCATGAAGCAAGTGCACCGTGTAGTCCACGGATAAGCCCACCGTGGCGATCATGAAGATGCACTCGTTCTCGCCCAAGCTCCATCCGAGGAGTGGCACGACTCCCAAGAAGGTCGCCGTGATACAAAGGATGCAAACCAGGCCCAAGGTAGAGGTCCACCAGTTCCATGTGGTTAACATCAGCACGATCCAGCAAACAAGAAGTGAAAGTCCGATGCCCATGGTGGCTGCCTTGACCATCTGATTACAACAATAATAACAATGATACTGGTCGTAATAGTCATCATAATCATAATTATAACATAAATATGAGTTCAGGCTGCCTTGACCATCTCGTTCTGGGTCACAAGGAACAGGTACAACTCTGCCGTCTGGAAGCCCCCAAGATCCGGCGCCCACGTTTCCTTGAAGGTCTGCCATCGGTTGTACCACTCGTTCGCCTCATCCACGGTGTTCTCGCGGGGGAATGTGGCGTTGTAGCTGATCCATGCAAACTGAATGGCGGTTTTGGCGTTGTTGAGCCGGATTCCGGTGTACTGAGTCATGAAATCTGCTTCATAGCGACGATTGATGCCCTTGAGGTAGTTCGCCTTCATCTCCATATATTCCTCCCATTCCGTCGTCTGGGGATCGCTCACAGAAGCGGTTGACAGAAGCGACAAGAAGTCGCTCTCCGACAATCCCGAATAGCTGAGAGGGTCGGTCGTGGAGTAGCAGCTCTGCGTGCCGTTTGCGTAGGCGCAGCCTGCGGCATTATCGCACGCGCTTGCATTCTTGCCTTGGCAGTTGCCCTGCTTGGATGCCCAGAAGTAGCGAAGGTCTTCCATGAAGCAATAACGAGAGGTCACACAGCTCTCGTCAGCCCGGATATACAGGCCAGAGGTCTGCCAAGCTTCCACGTCATGCGCACAGCTTCCAGGCAAAGGTGAGCCTTTCGCCAGGCACGCGCGTGTACCGCAGCGTGTGTCCGCATCGTCCTGTCCCCGGTCCACAGCGGTGCAGAGCGCCAGGAGCTCGAGCTGATTTTGAGGCTGTGCCAATTCAATGGCCGAGGCCCCACCGAACTTCGGAGCGTTCAATGTGGAGTCCTCCCTGTCGCGGGCCCAGGTCACGGGGCTCTCGTCCTCCAGACCAAAGACAATCGAAGCGGTGACAGGGCGTGTCGAGAATTCGAACTCCGAGAAAAGGATGTCAGAGCCCTTGATCACATCGATGTTCTCACGGCCGATGGGCGCCCTCTTCTTCGCGGTGCGCAGCTGAAGTCCAGCGCTTGTGGCCATACCGATGACCACGGCGACCCAGAAAAGGATGAGCTTGATCTTGTGATTCTGGTAAAATCTGAAGACAGGTCCGGAGAAGAACTTTTCCATAGCACGCGGCTCAGGGGTATCCTCCGGCTTGGGAGGCTTGGGCAGCACTTTCCAGCTTCTGCCGCAGCAAGTGAGGCAGGCTCGGAGGCCTCCAAAGCAGCAGCCGGGGCCCAAACAGGTGCCTGCCTCACGGAGCTCAATGCCGCAGCAGCGGAAGCAGTAGCCGAAGCCCTTGATCCATTCCTCATAAACCAAGACAGCCGAGGCAAAGAAGCTGATGCAGAAGAGGTAGTCCACCAGCACGACCACGGCAGCGAAGATGCAGAAGCTCTGAACCAAGGGCAACGGCGAGGTGGCGCCGATGAAGAAAGAGCCGCACGTGGTCAGAGTGGTTACAAGCATCGCACCCACCGATCTGCGATAGGCCCAGCAAAAACGAGTGGACTTGCTGTGGCTCACGCCTTCGGCATGAGCGGACTGCAACCAAGCATCGTAGAAGATGAAGACATCATCGGCACCGATACCAAGAATCATGTAGATCACGAGCATCTGATACCAGAAAATCTTCTGTCGCAGGATAAGCACCCAAAAGCACATTCCAACGGGAAGGGAAAAGATGATCCTCGGAAATCGCCGCAGAACTCAACACGCTTCAAACCGACACCGACACCGAAGTGGACCGTGGCTTGAAGAGTCGCATCACAGGCACTGCAATCCCTTATGCAAAACGTCTCTAGACAACAATGCAACACGAGCGGCTCGAACATGCCGCACGAAGCGAGGAAAACACCTTAGCCGGAGACGCATAAGGCAGCAAGGCAGCTTGGGACACGAAACTTTCGGCGACAAGAACTGGGCATCCTGCTTTCCAGCATCAGCCACATGTATGCCCAGACAGACACCAGCGAGCCGAGGGAAAGGAAGCCATCGACCAAGAGGATCCCTAGGTACTGGGCGATCAGCGTTGCGCCAGAGAAGAGCATGATCCGGAGCTTGCTGCCATGCTCCCGCTCGTACCTTGCCTCAATCAGGGCTGCCTTCGCATACCAGCCGGTGCGGCCTTCCACGTATCCCAGCTGGAACCGCTCGCCTTCTTTGTCATCGTCTGGGTCGTTGGCTCCAGCGAAGAAGCGAGAGAGGGCATACTTGCTCTTCCGCGACTCGCAATCGAAGGAAATGGGCATGAAGCTGTTCTTGCTGTTCCACCACAGCGGCAGCGATGGGTCGCACATCTTGTCCAGGATCGCCTCCTTGGCAGCCCCCGTGACCAAGCCTGTGGCATCTGTCGCCGGGAAGTATGCAGAGGAACTGCAAATCTGATGCGTTCCTGGAGGGGACCAGCCACAAGTCATGTTGCTCGCGCACCCTGCTGCCACGGTCTGCATCATCTGTTGCTCGACCCTGTCCAACACCATCATATTCACAGGGCCACCCCCCGTAGCCCCAAAACTCCGGGTCGGAGCAGCTGCACAGAGCTGGCCGAGGGCAGAGGTGGGATCCAGGCTAGTGGTGGTCGTGGTCGGCTCGTTGGCCTGGGCCTGGGCCATGCTCACGACATTACTCTTCCAGTTGGCGATGCATGTCTGGATCGATGTCGGCCAACTGGTCTTCGCCTTCATGGTACCGTCGCTGTTGCAAACCTGGCAAGTCTCCTCCATCTGACAAATGCATGCCATCATTCCCCCAAGTCCCAGGAAGTTCATGCCGTCGAGGCCCTGCTGCGCAACTTTGTTGAGACCATCGGTGTCCATGGAGAACATGTGTGTCAGACCAACGCCAGACGCACACTTTGCGGTGCCAAAGCCATGGCTGGGATATGACATCAAACACCAGTCCTCGTTCCATGGAGAAGGGCGCTTTGCACCGTTGTAAGTGTACTCAGCACCATCAACGTCTGTGAAAAGCTCCGTCTCGTAGTCCTTGATGATTTGAATGATGTCATCATCCAAGATGTTTCCATTCTCCCCGACAGCCTCATAGATCACGCTGATGAACGCCGGCAAAAAGTCCAGGTACAAGGGGCTTTGCCGTGCCTTGGGCGGAGCGGATGGGCACTCAAGCTCCTGGCAAAATCCACGTGGGCCACGTGTCACCCACTCGCAAAGCTCATCAGCCTTGCAGACGTCCTCGTCCTCGTGCGCCTGGTCAGCACAGCCTGGCCTCTCGCTCAAGGCTGCTTGGTAGCCAAACCACTGTTGCACTTTGAGGTCGCTTTCTACCGCAGGGTCTTCGAATGAGAAGATGTCAGTGCCCTGTACCCCGATCTCGCGGACGAAGAGCACGGTGAAGAGCCAGCCGAGGAGGAAGAAACTCCAACACGGGACGCAAGGGCCACAGCAGCCAAAGCAGGTCCCGAGCAGGCAATTCTCCCAACAGCCTGGCTCTGGGCCACAGCAGCACGGTGGAACCTCTGCTTTCGGCTTGCCACTGTCCACCTTGGCCTGCACCGGAACACCGACGACAGGAGCACTTTGATTAGCGTCCACGTTCACGGCTTCCCCGACCAGATTCGCCATGGGAAACTGAGACTTTTGGGGCAACCGAGGTACTGTCTTGGGCCTCGGAATTCGGGCTGCGGGTTCCTGTAGGTCGCGGCAGCCACAAGTCATGAACAGGCCGCGATGAAAGCGTCAAGATGTGCAAACCCGAGCCCAAAAACATCGCCTTGCCACCGTCTCCCCGAGCGCTCATTTGGGAGTAGAGCTGCAAAGCCAAACCTGACGGGTGCCCGAGCTTGCAGAGGCAGAGGCGAAGCGGCACGGCATGGCATGGCGTGTGCCTCCGAGGGGAAGGCCGAGCTTGGGCTTGGACACGAAGGCGGCCGAGGTGGCCAGATTCAGATCCTGCGAGTGAAAACTTCGAAGCCAGAGGACCTGCATGAGACAGCTCGCCTTCAGCATCAGATCACAGGCAAATCCCCCAGTGTAGCCTCTGGATGAAGGAACCTGGCAGCATCAGCTGCTTTACATGGCAGCCTGTGAAACTTGATTTCGAGCTGTCTGCAACACAACCGAAGCTGGGGACCGAATGCCATGGTGCCTTCTACCGCAAACCTTGTGCCCACATCAAGTTCCCCACCAACTTCTTCTGAGATTGGCGTCCCTGTGACGAGCAGCGAAAGCTTTTGGTGGATGGATCAGAAACGGACTGCCACGAATGCTTTCGACGGCTCTAGCATACTGCTGCTGCTGCTGCTGATGTGCCGCCACCACGACGATCCGCTGCAGCCGTTACCGCCTCTTGCGTCAATGCTGTACTACCGCCGCCGCTCCTGCGACTTCGACGGATATTCCAGCACAGAGCCAAACACCCCCCGAAGCCATACAAACCAGCAGGGTCCACCCCGTCCATGACACCGGGGCAGGGATTGTAGGTGTCGCTGCTCCAGCACCTCCAGCCAGGTCAAGAGCTCCCCTCCGAGGGGTCCTTTTTGACACCGTCGTCCTTTCAGCGCGCCTGCCGGAGCTGGTGTTGAGGATGTCCGCCAGCTTCCTGCAAGTATAGGTTTGAAGACAGTCATCGCAGCAGGAGCAGCAGGGGGGTCTCTAGAGAAGTCGTGATAAGGAGATGTGTCACATAGGCTGCAAGAATCTAAGAAGATGCCTTCGAAAGTGACGAAGCATCCTTCTCGTACATCTGAAAAGAGGCTCGAGCAGTTCGGGGAGCAAATGGGAGCTACTTCCGATGTTTGTCGACCCCAGTCCTCTGATCCAGGCCAAGGCTTTCCGCAAGAGCATGGCCCTGACAGCTTCGGTTATACGAAGAGGAAGCTAGCAGTGGGAGAACGCCTCACAAACAGCAGCCATGGTAATTCCCAGAACCAAGTTGTTACAAAGCTTGGCTGCCTGCAGGGAGAGGCGGAGCTCAAACCTGGCTCTGATGTGACAAATTCCGCCTGGCCCATTCCTGCATCACCACAGTGCACGACCTTGGCCATTGCATTCGAGGAGAAGTCACAGCGGCACATCTTCCGATCTTCCGGCTTCGCGACCTTCTTGCCCATGTGCTTCAGGATGAGGCTGGCATCTTCGAAGGCATCCAAAGACCTCTTCAGGCAGTTGACATGGCCACCCGAATGGAAGACTTCTCGATTCTGTGGGAGCGCTTGAAGCTTGGGCGGTGGTGACCACCCACCACCCCCCCCTTTTCCTGAGGCCCAAAACCACCACCTAACAATGCCAATAAAAAGTGTGAAAAATTTCGCAACTAGGAAAAGAAGTCATGACAAGTCCTTGGTACTTCTCCCTCAAGGAGGTGGTACGTCCCCACCCCCCTTCGTCGGAGGGAGGGGCCCACAAGCTGGGGTCTGCACCCTCCAACCATGAAGGTCAGCGTGGCCTGCCGACAACGAAGAAGCGCGGTCGGTGAACGGCCCGGCCAGGCCCGGCGCCTGCTCTGCCCCGGGCGTGCCGCCAGACACAGGCGCATCCACAGCGACGGCACCTCGCAGAGCCAGAGGTAGAAGCGCAGGCGATAGCAGGCGGCTCGTGGACTCGCTCTTTGGCCTCTGCTCGCAGAGGCCGTCGCCACCTGCACAGAGTGGCTCTGCGCCGAGGCTCAGATGTCGGGTCGTTTGCCTCCTTGGTGACGTGCACGTCACAGGTGGAGCAGTCGATGAGAAGCGACCCCGAGCTTGCCTGAGACTCCGAGGCTAGCAGCTAGCGCTTCGCCCTGCACTGATCACTGAAGGCTGCGGCTCCACCATCAAGCAGAAGCCCGTCCTTCCCTAGATAAACCTCAGCTTGTCACGAGGAAAGACGGCCCTGGGCCCTAGACTCTAGAATCTAGATGCCTTGGCCCTCAGTCATCTTGGCACGCTTTGCTGGCTAGTGCTCGCCTCGCGAACGTGTGCACCAGCCGGAAGCATGGTGACCACCGTCTGCGCAGCTGCAGCCACGGCAAGCGGGGACCTTAAGCAAGCAATCTGTAATGGTCATAAGCCCCAATGCTACGAAAGGAACAATCACAGATCGAAAGCCCCTTTACACCTTAGCCCTTCTTATCCCGGCTGCCGAAACAAAGCCTGAGGCAAGCTCTGCGCAAGGCGGCCACCAGCTTCGGCAAACTTGGTGAGGTTGTCTTCAGAAACGTCGAACCCAACAACCTGCCATTTCAGAACGGGTGGATGGATGTATGGCTTCGGCATCAACAGCGACAAACATGAAGCAGGAAAGGTCAGATTGCTGCAGATTCACCTCAGGCCTCATGTCCGGCTTTCAAGAGGTTCCGCGCCATTGGCCCACCTGAGGTCACGCTTCCAGTGAACCGGGCACCCGGAATGTCGCTAAGCCAGTGGCCCATGTTTCCAAGGCCGATAAAACCTTCAGCAAGGGCCAACCGCCAATCGTTGACACCAGAACAGAGAGCCCAGGCTACGCGGGCCCGCACCCACAGGTCCAGCCGCTCCCGCTGCTAGCCCTCGGCAGCCAAGCCCCCATGACCTCGAGCCCACAGAACGAAGGATGCGATCCGAGGAAGGCCGTAGGGCCGTAGGGTCCAAAGGTCAGTCGTTGAGTATCATGTGCAGCAGCTTCCCCCAAACGGAGGCCTGGCAATCTGCCTGGCGACCAAACTGGCCATTTGCACCTCGCTCAAACTGAGCGACGTCGAAACTCGAAGCTCCGGGCCGGTCAGCCGTCACCCGAGGCCCCTGCAAGCCGCCAGGAGGCTTCGAAGGGCTTTCAAAATATCGGGTCGTTGGACAAACAGTATGCACTGAAGCTCAACAAGCAAAGTGAGAGCTGTGCATTCATGGTTGCATGGTGCTTTTCTGCTGTGATTACGAACTCTCCTGGCTGTCTTTGCCTTCGCATGACACCGGAGCTGCACTGGAACTCAAGGCGGCGCGGCAGAGCAAAGTGTCCATGTGACTTGTCGCCCACTGCAGACCATGCCCAGGATGCTGTGAAGATATCAGCTCCCAGCTCGGTGGTAGAGCTCGGCAGCACCCCTCCTTTTTCGGAAGCCAAGTTACACCGAGGCAGGGCATGGTTTCATGCCATGACCTTATGTCATGCTGCCGCTAGGTTCGACGGAATCTCCAGAAGTTAGGAGACTCGTAGCTAAAGGTCTGAAGAACATGTACTACGTAGCCATCTTTCGGCATCCGATCTCGTCCATGAGGAAAGACTGGATGCAATGGTTTGTGCCGTTCAGCGAACATGCCCCTGTGCAAGAAAATCATGCTGTGCATGTGCGCAACCACTCGCACTCACATCAAAAACACTTGCAGCGCCTGGTGCGTGCGTCTGATCAAGCGGATTCGACTGAAGAACATAGGACCAAAAGACCTCGTCCGTTCTGCACAGTTTGGACAGTGTGACCAACAGGAGAACGTAGAGCTGAAACTTAAGGACCAGAGAAAGTTTCAAGAGGTACAGGCAGTGCGATTTGCCGCGTCTTACAAACATGTCTCGGTCAACTGGCAGTGCTCTTGTCTTCTCAAAGCAGGAGCCCGGGCGTCTTGTCCGGCATGATCCTGGTGCCTGAGTCAAACAAGGGAAACCTGGCCAGGACCGGTCAACATTCCTCTCAGAGCGTTGGGTCGCGTCTAAGGTCAGGACCCCAATCCGTGGACTCCGCAGCAAGCCCGGGTATCATGCCTTGGCATACGAGGCATCTCACATCCAGGAACGCGAGAACGCAAGGGCTCGTAGTGCAACCGACTGAAGTGACAGCGCCAGAAGTTTAGCTGCCGACTGCTGAGCACCTCATCGAGTGGATCCACCTGTTCTTGGTGCTGACACCTTTTTCCCTTCCGCCTGCTTACGGGGTCGGAATGCCATGATGGCGAGGCAACGGGAGACCGAGGACGAAGGGATTCAGCCGCCCACCACTTTCAAACCCCCATACTAGCGGATCACTCGATCCCCCGCATGCGGGGTTCCCGCATTCCTCGCAATTCTCTAGTGAAGTCATCCAAACACGGCTGCATTCAGTATATTTCCCGCATGCTGACTTGGAAGTAGCGGAGGAGGGTGTTTTCGAGAGGAGATGGTCGGTGAAGCAAGACAGAGGCATGTCAAAATTAAGCAGCTAGACGAAAGTCTTTTCAACTGGCTAGATTGCCTCATGCCCAGATGTCAGTCTCTGTTGTCCGTGGGTTTTGTCAGCTCCTGTTCTGTTACACATAGCTTAAACTGCACCCCTCAACGGTCTGAGGCGGCCTGGAGGTCGAAAGTCCCCTCCACGCGCTTGAAGAGCCGCTCGATGACGCCGTCGCCCTCCTCCGGAGCGAGCCTGCAGAGAGGGTTCGCCGAAGACTCGGGGCTTCCTCTCCGCAGGCGAGGCCCCGGCGCACGATTGAAGTACAGCAGCACACCTCCTTCACAAAGCAACCAAAGCCTCAGGGACGCCCGGAGCCACTTCACAGCTTTGCATTCGGAAGATGTTGGAGTGGGCAGAAAGTGGCACATGGAGGCCGTCCGCACAAATGCGAAGCTGCTGCTCGGGGCTGCACGCATTGTGCAACCACTTGAGCTGTCGCCTCAGTTGCTGCAGCTGCCAGCTGCGAAAGAAACAACCCAACCCCGACAGAGGAATGCTGAGAGCGGGTCTCAGCGCTCACCTTCTTTTTCAATTCTAGGGTGGTTCTCTGCAGGATACGGTTGCTGCCTTGGCGGTGGAAGCGGACCACCGCGCGAGACCACCAGGGCAGGAGCCGCGCAGCATTGCCTTGTCGTCCGTGCCTGATCTGTAAATGGCAAGAAAGCTTCACTCCACAGCCTATGCTTTGGCTCCGAGCACGGAGGACCCAGAAGGATCTTGCTGTAGGGTGCTAACCTGAGGTAGGCGCAGGTCACATCAAAGGCTCCCGGCAGCCGTATTTCTGAGACATGCACTTCTCGGCAGCATTCGACGTCGTGCCCAAGTCGACGGATGTCAACACCTGAGCTCGTACACAGACTCCGGCAGAATAGAAGCTCCAAAAGAAGGTCACTCTGGCCCTGCATGGAGCCGACATGACTTGATGGAAAACGGGAATAGTGCTTCGGACCCCCACAACACGAGGGCCATGTCCGGCCAGGCTCTCCTGCGACGGCAAATGAGCTCAAACATGCTTTTACAAAGGTGTGAACTCTGTGTATGCTGAGTGCGCAGATGTATCACACCAGACAAGTAGAATCGGTTCTATCTATCCCTTTCTCGCAGTCCCTGTTTTTGGTCTGAATGTCTGTCTAGCCGTCTGTATCTCTGCCGAATGCTGCGAACATCCTCCTGCATTCTGGGAAACGAAGCTGCTGGACGCACGAACAAGAGAAACCCTCTGGGAAAACCCTCATGGCTTGGCTCTGGGCTCTCTCGGTTCTCGGAACTTAGGCTGTGAAGACGCGACTCCGCGACGCCTTCGAATCGAAGAGCCGCCAAGGCAGCAGCAGCTGCCTGGCATCGAATCGTTGCACACTCTTTCCGCACAAGTTGCGTCGTCAGTGAAAGGCACGGCAAGGTAGTAAGATCCAAGATCTTTCCTAGGTCTAAGGTGACACGATATGAGTCTTATTTGCGAGTTTCTTTGCATGAGCAGCTGCTAAAGCGAGACAGCCAGGCAACATCTGCTGCACGAGAATGGCCCGGGATTTGACCATCTGGGTAGGGCTTTTGAAGGTGCGTTCAAGACTTGATCAACACTGCCAGCAAGCAGCCTGTGAAAGTCTCTGGACTGCTTGCTCGATGCTCTACCCAGACTCTTGGACTCATGCGAACAGGGGGCCTCGTTGCAAACGAGGCGGCCTTGTAGGTTCTGCGGCCTCGGAAAAAAACAGTTTAAAAACAGCGCCTTACTTCCGGGACTGCACTTCTGAGCCCCCCGCAAAGCGTGTCCACGTGGGCAGCGCGGGGCAAAGAGCGCGGCTGCCAGAGCGAACCTCTGCTCTTCTGATTTGTGCAATGGCAAGATGCTGGACAGTACCCTCGAGGCCCGAACGAAGTGGCGCCAGTGGCACAGGCATCCAAAACGTAATCGCCCTCCTTGAAAGAAAAGAACTCCATTCTTGATCCTGAACTTGCCTCTTGTTCCAGCATCGTAGCCGACAAGACTTCCTAAAGCGTTCACTGCTGCCCTCGCACAGCTCCTCGACTTGCAAGGCTTTGGCAACAATCAGCGAGGCGCCCTGCGTACATCCGCAGCAAAGACACGGTGCCACCGTCATTGTTTATGCCATACACCTTGAGTTTGACAAAGCAGACAAACCCACAACCAACGGAACCAAGGTGACGGACGACGACCATGGCAGTAACCAGTACTACTGCTGTGACTACAATGACTACAACGGTTCCTTCTTCTCCTCCTTCTCCTACTCTGTCTACAACTCCTCTTGCTCTGGTTCCTCACTCCTCCACTACTTCTGCTCCTCCTCCTCCACAACTCCTCCTCCTACTCCTCCTCCTTCTCCCGCTCATACGCATATCATACTGCCACAGCCACTGCCACTACCGCTGCGACTCCTACTGTCACGGCTATTGCTACCGCGACTGCTACACGATGACGACTACCCACGTGGGCAACGAGGCCTACCCAATCACCACCATCACAACCGCCGACACTATGTCACAATCTCGCCCGATGCATCTCCCTTCGTTCGAAAACCTCATAGCTTACGAGCAGGTCTCAGAAATAGGAACCTCAATCCGGCGACCCGCAACTGACCAAGACAGCCGCCTACTTTGCAGTCTGCCTCTGCCAGGAGGAAGGGTGCCAGCTCTTCACCTGGCGAGGCTCCCAGCACCTCCACCTCAGCCCAACGCAAGAAGCTCTAAGCAAGCAAACCAGCGGTGGCTGAGGTGGGGTGATGATGGTGACGACGATGACGATGGGGCCGAGGACGGGTCTGCTGATGATAATGATGATGGCAGTGGTACTGCAGTAGTAGATAGCAGACAAAGGTCAGGCCATTCATACAGCTCATGCATCCCTGAGGTCGCTGGCATGCCACAGCCCTGCGCTCTTGACACTGCTTCAAATTGGCTGAACAAGCCCAAACCAACAGAGCTCCGTGAATAAGACCTCAGGACTCGTGGCCGATTCTGCCAAGGACCGCACTTCATGCCGATCAGGGCCTTGCCGGCAAACACTACAGCTGCGACAGCAGCTCGAACATACTATGCAGAACCAAGCACGTTCTGCTTAGAGTCTGTGTTCCCTGTGGGTTGGTATGAAGTTGATTCATGTTATGCATGTATTTTGCACGATCCAGAATAGTGTTTTGATCCTTTCTTTTGTAGAAGCCGCCACGGCAGCCGCAGTAGCAGCAGTAGCAGCAGCAGCAGCAGGAGCACAGTACGAGCAGTGGTACCAGTAGTGTAGCAGTAATCAGAGCAGTAGCAGCAATAGCAGTAGTAGCAGGAATAACAGAAGTAGCAGTAGAAGAAGTAGATGCAGTAGCAGTAGCAGCAGCAGTAGTAGCAGTAGCAGAAGTAGAAGCAGTGGCAGTTGCAGTAGCAATAGCAGCAGTGGCAGTAGCAGTTGCCGTAGCAGAAGCAGAAGCCGCAGGAGCAGTAGCAGGAGCAGGAGCAGGACCAGGAG